AACTGTCTGAGGTTGATACTATTACTAACCCCATTTTACAGATGAAAAAACTGAAGCTCACAGAAATTAAGAGTGACTTCAGGGTCACACTGGGTAGTACCTGGGGTAGAATTTGAATCCTGGTCTGTCTAAGTCCAAGTTTAATGCTTTATTCAGTCCTCTACCATACCTATCAACAGTACAACCGACACATCTATGAATGAATGAAACATTTATTAAGCACTATTAGTAAGACTGTGTACAAAGCACTGTGCTAAGGGCTAGATAAAAATAGAAAAAGATAGATAAAAATAGAAAAGATAGTTCCTGCTCTCAAGGAACTCACATTCTAATGTGGAGACAATATCCACAAAAGGTTTCAGCTGCAAATCAGATGGAAAGGTCACATGGTCCTTAGGATGGCGTGCCAAAGTTGATGGCCATGCCTCTTCTTGAATATAATTTTCCTTAATAAGACCATATCAGCTTCTGTTGCTGAACCACTTTATAATGCCAAAGACTTTGGTAACAAAAATTTTCTTTTTCGAGTCTTCAGAAGGTGGGGCTATAGTTCTTGCAGGAACAGTTGTCAGGCATATCTCTAGGACCTGCTTCCCAGGATGGTTAATGAACACAGTGTTGGAGGCACTGCAATTCCCCTGGTGCTTGGGTTCAGGAACTCTTGAACTGTCTTCATCAGGGTCTGAGGGGTTATATGTTGATCAAGAAAGTGGCAGTGACTTAACTTGACTAGCAACAAAGCTGCCTCCTGTTTCTCCATCTGGGACAGACTTTTTAGGCTGACTTGCGTGCCTTGTATGTACGTGGCAGCTGGTGGGGATAGCTGGCCCCTTCTTCACAATAGCCACTTCTGCAAATGATGGCTGTGAGGGCTGGGCTAGAAGGAGGACAGGTGGTCTGGGGTTCTGCCACTCCCAAGGCTCCTGTGCTTATCTTCCTGATCGTGGCACTGGGTTAACAGTTGCTGCTGGTGGTAACAAGGAAGGTGGGCATCTTCTTCACAATGCCTGAGATAAATCAACAATGCTGTGGAAGCTGGGCTGGAAGCAGGTCCAGAGGACTGGAGGACATTGCTATTCTTCAGGCTCTTGAGTACAGAGTTCTGGGTTGTTTCCATCAGAGTCTGAGGGTAGACTGTGGTCAAGGTGGTCGTGGTGGTTTGATTTGCTTGGAACATACTACCTCCCATCTCGCCCTTAGAGTGCCCTGCTGCTTCAGCTGGGCTGGTCTGCTGGTCGTGTATATGACTATACAGTAAAACTAAAGCTATTGAGAATCCTTGGAAAATATTCATTCTAGATAATCATATTTTACCTCTTTAAGGATCCAAAATTTTTTATTTTACTTTTTAATTTTTGTTTAAGAACAAAATACTTTGAACATATATTTCCTTGATGTATGAAGGTCATTATTATAAACAATGAGAGTGCTGTAATACAAAGATGCACCCCATAAACTGGTGTGTATACTTCTTGACTCCTAAAGAAAATAATATTTTACAGTTTTTCCAGCCTCACCCCTTACTGTCAATCAATCTCTATCTGTGTACCTGAATGTAGCAGCAGCCTGTAGGTTTGGAAACCAGAGAATAAAACTTCTTAATTTAACATTTATTTTTAGATGTCTGAAACAAGGGCAAATAAGCTCTGAGTCTAATTACATTTTTACATATGAGATAAATGAGATCCAGATAGATTTCAAATGACTTGTCCAAGGTCACAAAACCAGTTAAAATGGTGTTCCAAATCTCAGAGTCCAGTACCTTTTCCACTCCAATCCACCACACTACCTCTCTGAATATCTGGGGTTGTTGATTTCCAGACAGGTTAGCCATTAATGCAGTTATTTTTTATAAAGGCTACCTAACTCTGTATTGCACTTAACAGCAAAGCATTTTCTGGGCCCAAGCACAAGTATATGTGTGTGTGTGTGTGTGTGTGTATTTGCATGTGTGTATATACATATATACACACAAACACATATACATATATATGCATATACATATACATATACACACACACAAGGCTTTTATATACCTACAAATACACATGCTGTGTCCTCAGCCATATTGGAAGTCCCTTGAGCTCAGGGACTGTTCTGGCTTTTGACTTTGTTTCCCCAGGACCTACAACAGGGTCTGGAACATATCAGGCAATTAATAAATGCTTATTCATTGACTGAAAGCTTTTCACAACTTTGCATCCCCATTCTTTGAAGACCTTTAAATTTCAGTTTCTGAGACATATTTTGATATCTAAAAGTGAGCCAGTGAGAAACCATTCTTTCCTTTATGTTTTACTACTGCTGCTTTCCATTCTCTGATACTAACCTTTATAGATAGGAAATGTCAACACTGAGCAGTCTGGAGGAGATTTAAATTCTTGCTTTACTTATTGCTTTTCCAAATATCAAAAAAGTATTCGAGGAAACAAACCCTCAGGAGAGAATGCATGTATTTTAAAACCAGCTTCTGACCTGAAGCAAAGATGTTCTGAAGACTAGCTTCTCTCCAATATCTGAAAATCTTTCAGCAGATCTGTGTATTCAAATCCCAAATCAGAACACTGGCAACACAGAGTTCCACATTTTTATTTAGTTGTCCTCTAATGACTCCTCATTAAGATTACATTTTTAGCTTAAGGAATAAGGCTTTAAGGAATAATTATCTAGAACTTACACAATATCATATGAGCTAATTACAAGTGTCCTATTATAGAAAAAGCACTGGATTTAGAATCAAAAGACCTGGTTTCCAATCCCAGTGCTGCAACCTGTGGGACCTGAGCAAGCTACTTTACACCTTTGTGAGTTTCCTCATTGGTAAAATGAGGGAGTTTGACTACATGGTCTCTACTGCTATTTCCAGCTCTAAGTCCTTTGATTAACCCAGGGACCCCACAACTAAAATTACATTTAAAAAGGGAAGGGAAGAACAGGAAATACTGAGTCCCAATAATAACATGGTCTCCAACTTATTATTGAGACAACATGAGACAATTGTTAGATCATGATGATATAATAATGAAACTAAGAGGTGATCTCTGATCTTTAAAAACACTATTAATCTAAAAGAAAGTGAAAGCAAATATGAAAAGTAAGCATAACATTCCCAATTTGCGGGAAAAGAGATTATAATTTAACCAGATAAACTGCAGAAGATACACAGACAATTCAAATCTCAGTATCATAATTTTTCTTGTCATCTTTTTTTTTCCCTGCCTCACATACAATTCTGTGTTTCTTGGTGTCTTGATGCAGAACATTCCTAAATCTATCTTAAGACATGTGACATGCTCTAAATATAAAATTACTAAAAACTAGCTCCTCAAAAAAAAAAAAAGGACTTTGCCTGATCCAGTCAATTTTGGGAATTACTTTCTGCTTGAGGAGATGTAGCTAAGATGTAGCACAGAAAAGAGGCTACCCAGCTGTGGCCAGCACATATCTGGAAATCCCCAACTTTTTGCTTGACCCTGAGTATTCTTAAATCCAAGTTACAGAACTCTTTGACCCTGTTAAGGTCTGTCTGCTTCAAATATAATGGCCCTGGCTGCCCCTGTCTTCCAAAAGCTGAAGCTGCTTTCTCCACTATTAAACCACAAGAGGAATTTGTATTTTCTCTCCAGAGTGGAAAAGAAATCAGGCCCAGTCCTGTAATCAGACAAGGAACCTTCAACATATGAGAAAAAAAGGACAAACTAAGAAGCACTTGAAGAGGAGCCAACCAAGAACTTGGTCCTGGAGAAGGAGCAAGGGTTTGCTATGAAATAAATCCAAGTAAGGGAACTAAAATTTTACTGTTCAAAACAAAGTAAGCTGTGTAAGGATCTAAGTCCTGGATTCCACCCCACCATGCAGTGTATATTCTTAAGGCTGTGTGTATGTATTAGAAGTTAGCAAAGAAAAAACAGACTTTGTAGAAATATGTCAACACATGACATAACTTGAAAAGGCTGGCTGCTCATTGGCGCGGGTTGCAACTTGCAGGGCTCACATTAAGAAGTGGGTACTTTCATTTCTTTTCCTGTGAAGTAACTTCCATTGCCCCCAAAAATATCGGATTAAAGACAACTAAATAGTCTCATTTATGTACAAAACCGTATGGACAGTTAACGAATGTGAAGTTCAGAAAGAACCAATCACTGTAGAACAGACTGTTTATTCCAATTCAAGACAGTCCTGGCAGCTTCTTCCACACCGCAACAAAAACAGGAAGAATCCCTCATTCAAATCCTACAACTCCTGTATCTAAATATAAATCGCCTAATGGAGGATTTGATAATAACGAGATGGGTGCAAGGAGCCACTCAAGATGCCCACAAGGAGGGGACACACACACACACACACACACACACAGAGGAGATTTCATGTTGTACCCAGAGTCTAAGCTAATTAGGTCCCGCGAGCAAAACGCAGGCGCCTGTTCATTCACAAATACACAACCAATAGATATGCACCAACACCCTAATCCAGAAAGGCGGGTGTCTGCACAGTAACGGAGAGGAGGGCACGGTGAATCGAAGGCATGTGTCAGATTCACACCCACCCGACCCACAGGGCAAACTTGCACGCCCAATCCCGACACTTCCATACAACGTGCCTGCGAGTCGCTCCCGCGGACTCCGGCTACGCCGCAGCGGCAGGATGTGGAAGTGGGAGAGCACCCCCGCCCACGAGCACCAGGCATGAACACACACACATACACACGCAAGCTCAGACAGAGGCGCGCCTCGGTTTTCCCCGGAGCACACGAGACAGGCCCATCCGGAAGATGTGGAGCAAACTTGAGATCCGTGAACCGCACAACCCCAAGCCCCCGCCCTTCTCCTTTCCCGCACACCACCACCAAACACACACACACACACACACACACACACACACACACACACAGCAACTGGAGAGTGTACAGGTTAATCTACCCCAACCCCTCACCAGCCTTCTGCCTGGCAGTAAGACAGGAGGGGGCGATACACACTCACGCGTGCCAGCCGAGTACTCACCTGCCTGTACAGTGTCTGAAAGGTCATGTCCGAGGGCCACGGTCCTGGGAAACTCCTTCAGTTTTCGAGCGCTGAGGTTGAGCCCCCCGGAGTTGGCCGCCTCCTCGAGCGCCCGCTCCAGACCTCGGTTCAGAGGCAGGTTGTAGCCACCCCCGCCGCCCCCCGCCCCGGCTCCGGCCCCACAGCCAGCTACTGCCCCGGCCCCGCCATGGTGCTGAAGATGGTGGTGATGGTGATGGTGATGATGCTGGTGCAGAGCTGCAGCCGGGAGCGAAGGGGCGAAAGGTTGGGGCTCGCTGCCCAGCGTCGCCATCTTCTTCCCCTGGCCCCCCCACCCCGCCCCTCCGCACTGGCGGGGGGTCTCTGCGCCCCCCGGGGGAGGGGAAGACGGAGCTTTGGGCTGCGCCCTTCCCTACAGGATCAAGCGGGCAGGCAGCGGCGCGGGGATGGAACAAGAGTGCGGAGATGGCCGGCCGGGGCTGCCCGATTCTTAGGGGTTTCCTTTCCCTGGGAAGCGAAGGACGGCTGCGGCGGCGGCGGCGGTGGCGGCGGCGGTGGCGGCAGTAGCGCGCATGTGTCTCCGGCTGGGGCTCCCTCCTCTCCGGCCTCTCTCTTCCTCCTCCTCCTCCTTCCCCAAGCTGTCAATCCAGCCCCGAGTCCCGGTTAGGGCAAAGGCGTCCTCCCCATGCAAGTCCAACTTGCCCCAGCCAGTTCACTGAGCATGCCCACAGTCCCCGCGGGCTAGAGGCGCGACTTTAGACAAGTGGGGATACGGGGGAGGGAGGTTGGGCTTAGCCGTCCCCGCCTCCGCCTCCGCAAGAGGGTGGAGAGGAAAGAGGGACTGACTGCGCCCAGTGATCGAGGTGCCAGCCCCGAAGAGGGAGGGAGGGAGGGAGGGAGGGAGGGTTAGAGGCACCCTCAACAAAGAGAAGTCAGAGGCCAGCGAGGTGGACAGCCCCTGGAGATGGGGAAGGAGACACACACACACACACACACACACACACACACACACACACACACACACACACCGGGTGAGGGGGCTGACCCATTTTGCCAAGGGCTTCCTTTTCCTCTGTCATTAGGAATCCCCAAGGTCAGGGTCATTGCTGGGTGATAGATGGGATGTAAACATAGCAAAGAAGGGTTTTGCCAAATTCAGCACGTTTGGGAGATTGCTTTGTACACAACGGGTCCCCACCCCTTTTCTAACAGATCGATTTCCACCGTCTCATCACTCGACTCTCAGTCCCATTTTGGAAGAGTAAGAAAGCCGAGGATTTAGGGGGTGGGGGGTGGGAGCTTGAAGACGTGCGATTTTTGCGGAGTAATTGTTGGAAGCCACCGAGACACGGGAAGGAAGGGTTGTTGTATTGTTTGTTTGTTTGCAAAATGACAATTTGCTTGGAGTATAAGAAAAGATACTGCAGGAGGTTGGGAGAGAGAATTAAGTGGAAGATGACATCGTGAGACCCAGGACCTAGGTGGTTGGGTTTCAGTAGACACTAGGCAGTTGCCCTTGTTCGGTAGTATAATACTGGGATCAATCCAAGTTCTTTAGACCAGGTCATATTCTTAACCCGTGGAACCTGGGGTCTGTTTCTATGTCTTCAGGGTGAATTTTCTCTGCCCCTCCTCTCTCACCTTGTCATCAATAAGCATAGAGGGTAACATGCTAGCAAGTTCTCCTGCTCCTCCAATACGACTATTTCCTTTCTGGCTATCTCCCTAACCTCCACTTGGTTGGAAAATCAACTTACTCAACAAGAAACATGAGTGAAGAAGCTAGTCTAGTCTAATGAGAAAAGTACTGGAGTCAAGATATCTGAATTTGAATGCTAGCTCTACTACTTAAATACACTTGGAACTTTGGACAAGTAACATCACCTCTCTGAGTCCCAGTTTCTTACTCTGTAAAATTAGAGTGTCAGATTGAAATTTAGCCACTAAATTTATTTAGTCATAAATAACCTGTATTACTATATATGCCTTATATTAATAACCCTTTCAGCCCTACAGCCTAGAATCCAATGGCCAGGGCTTTGTATACACTTATGTGTACTAGGTAAATATCCCTCACTCCCTCCCCCCTTTCAATTTAAACTTCTGGAGGTCAGGAATGTAAACTCTTTGAATGCTGGACTTGTTTCAATTTTGTCTTTGTATCCTCCAGCTCCAAAATAATGTTTTCATAAATGTTTGAATTTTGTTTCAGCCACTTACTAGCACTGTGTCCCAGAGTAAGTCACTTAATCACTGTCATCCTTTTTCCTCTATCAAATGGAGATAATAATAGCACTTACCTCATAGGTTTGCTAGGAGGATCAAATGAGATTATATATAAAGAGCTTTGCAAACCTTAAAATGATATATAAATGAAATCTATTATTACTGTAGCTAATTAATTGAAGAAGGAACCACTTGATATAATACATTCCATCCATCTCTCCAGCTAGCATTGTCTTGGCTGTCCGCCATACCTAATTTGCTCTCTCTCCTCAACTCAGCCTACTGGCTTCTTTGGCTTTTTTCAAGTTTGAACTAAACTAACATCTTCTACAGAAAGTCTTTCCCATTCCCTCTTAATTCTAATGCCTTTCCTTTTTAAATTATTGCCTATCTGTCCTGTATATAGTTTGTACATATTTGTTTGTGTGTTGTCTCTCCCCATTAGATTCTGAGCTCCTTGAGGGCAAACTCTCTTTTTGTATCTCCAGGGTTTAGCACAATGCCTGGCACATAACAGGCCCTTAATAAATATTTATTGACTGATTGACTACCTAGATTTTGAAAGATGTTCTCTCTAATATATATATGTGTGTCTATATGTATACACACACACACACACACACTCACACACACACACATATATTCTCCAAAATCCTAAAGCACATCTCATCATTTTTACTGGCTTGAGGGTGGAGTACAATATAGTGGATAAGGAAATAATACCAATATGGAAGATGAGGGATCAGTTCCTTTCTATGTCAAGGATCATAGAATCACATTTATAGAGATGTTAGGGACCTTAGAGATTGTTTAGTCTAAACCCTTCATTTTATGGATAAGGAAGCTGAGGCCCAGAGAGATCAAGGTGGTAAAAAACAAAGATAAGATTTGAACCCAGGTCCTCTGACTCCAAAACTAGCACTTTTCACTAAACATCTTTAGGAAAGAGGGAAAGAGAAAAAAGTCTCTTCAAAGACATGGGCACAGTCATTAGCCCATGAAGTGAATACCATAATTGATCTAGTACAAGTCATTTGGATTATTCTAGCCTTATTTTTTCTCTAGCACCTGACTTTCATTCTTAGGTGGCTCTAGACTAGGAGGCAAGCTTTTGCAATAGAAATCTGCTTTTTTATTATATATTTAAAAGGAATAGCAAGTTGTACATAGTAGAGTTGCAATCATCTTTTTTGTTCTCTACTAATATTGTGGAAATGCTTGTTTCATTTCTTAAGTTGAGAATAAATAAAAAATAAATTTGAGGAGACTAGTACCACCTGCTGGTGACATCCCAGAATTTTATGAATCTCGTTCTAAGGAACATGATACTTTTGGGAGAGGCAGTGCTTTTTCCTTAAATCTAGAATGTTTGAACTACAATGGAACTTAGAAATCATTTAGTCTATCTCCTTCATTTTGGTCATGATTAATCTGAGTCCAAAGAGAAGTAACTTGCTCACAGCCACACAACTGTGTGTTCATGGCAGAGCTGGGATTCTACATCATGGTACACCCAGTTTGGTGTTTGTTTCCATTGTACCCAGTCTTCTACCTTACTCTCACCCCTTTTCCCTTCCTGTTTATGATTTCATCAATGTGGAAACTTCAAGTGTGGAAATTCCCTCCACTGATACAGGTCAGCAATGATCTTTAATTTATAGTTTTACAGAATGGCCAAGAACACAGAGAATTAAGTGACTTACCCATCCATGGTCATGAAGACAATAATAGGTAAAAGAGTCAAAAATTGAATCCAGCTCTTCCTTACTTCAAATCCATTCCCTCTAACCATTGGGCCAAGTTTCTTTTCATCCACTAGCCTCACTAAAACCAAATTTCAAAATCTTAAAATTTGCTAGAGGAGGAAAATCTAGTATTACATATAAACACAATTCCACTTTCCCTCTCACTCATCTGTTTTCTACTTTTCCCAAAAGAAAAGTTTGGGCCTATCCTTCACTGTGGATATTCACTGACTGGGTCAAGAAGGAAACAAATGCTATTGGTTGAGCAGATTGTCATATCTCTTAAAGCTTTAAATAGCTAAATATTGGAAAGATTTGAGTTAGAGAATAGGAGATGTGGAAAGCTAAGAGCTGCCTGTGGGGGAGGAGTGTGGAGAATATTTATTAAGAAGAATTATAGAATCCTAAAATTTTAGAGTTGGAAGGAACCTTTGAAATTACCTACCTACCTCAACTTTGTCGTGTTACAGATAAGGCAACTGAGACAGACAATGGGCAACTGACTTGTCCAAAGTCATACAACAGAGCCATCCTCAAACCTAGGTCTTCTAACTCCAGGTTTTTACAGTATATTATACTATACTCTTTATAGTATACTATATACTATACACTACAGTCTTTGCAGTAGACTAGACTTCTGGCACTCTTTCAGCTATAGCCAGGTTGGTGGTTTGGGAATTTTTATCATTGTTGAGTAGGCATGTTGACAATAATCTAAGTGATCTTTCAATAGATGGACATAGCAAGAAATCACAAGAAGATACGGTGGTTTTTTTTTAATTCCCGACAACATACTTTGAGAAAAAATAGGATATTAAGATACCACTCTCCACAAAAATATCTTACATTCAAAATATGTCTTGTAACAAATTTCCAATCTTGTGCCTTTAAGGTAGGCCCCATGTATGAAATTTTCTTCTATCTTTTCTTCCAGGTGAAACATTGTACATCAAATAAAAGATTTACCTTCTTGCTAAATTTTTTCTTTTTTGTACCGGATTTGTGATTTCATTGTTTTATGGTCTGGGTAATATATCTAATTTATAGTCTTATAAAAGTTTCCTGGAGCCCTAAATGATTAAATGAAGCACGGTCACATAGCCAGTATGTTTCAGAGGCAGGTCTTGAACTTAGGTCTTCCGTGTTCAAAGGTCACTACCATGCATTAAACCATGCTTCTAAATTGTGCTACTCTTAATGATACAAGTTTTCAAGGTAATAAACTGGAGAGCTCAGTATGAAGAAGGTTGGTACTATGAATGAGAAGTAGGAGGAAAAATTGACCTGGATGAAACTAACCTCGATTCTTTTTCAAAAGTTGAGCAATGTTGAGCAATGTGACATTCCAGTTGTTTTT